GAGGAGGAGGAGGAGGAGGAGGGCTGATTCCTATTGTGAATGGTTATGTCCGCCCTTGTTTCGCTATTTGCTTTCGGCTGCCATTGAAACGGGGGGGGGGGGGGGGGGGGGAATTGGTATTTGGGAAGGGAAGTTTTAAGTACAGGAGAGATTGTGAAAAGGGAGTTTTGCTCTCACCTTCTACTGCGCATGCTGGAGATTGTGATTGAGGTGACCAAGGCCAGCCGTCCTGCATACCAACCTGATGATGCTTTTTGAAGATGGAACCCACATGACACCTGAGGGATTTGCAGATTGGACTATGGGATGAGGGTTCCCAGGGGAAGAGGGTTGGGTCACATATTGACATGTGTGATTTCGCGCGCTTTTGCCTCAGATCTTGCTTTGCTTAGCTGCTATCTTTTCATAACCAGTAAAAGGGTAAATAAAACCAAAACCTTCAAAGGAACGTCCTACCCAGGCAGCGACCAGGAGGACGACATGGGGCAACTGCATCCTTGTGTTCCTTGGAGACGGAGCGGTTAGTGGAAGCTTGCAGGAGGGAAGCAGCTGAGCTGGAAGGCGGGATTAAATGTCTTGTCAGTTTGGAGTCACGGTCTGGCCACAAGAGACCCAGGTCCAGCCCCTCCCCTGAAATTCCATTGTCCGTATCTTGTGCCAGTTTAGCTTTGTCCATCGGTTGACTAGATTCTTTTGTATGGGTAGCAGTAAAAACTCTTCTATGCTTTGAACTCAACAAAGGCTCTCAGTTATCTGCTTCCAGGACAGTGACTTCTGGGTGGGTGCAGGCAGTAATTAACACAGTAATGTGATTAATGCAACACATCAGAAGGAGTTGGTGGTGGAAGCCACCATTAGACCCTCACTCTGCAGGACAACTTTTGTCCAGTTTTGTCCAAAGAGTGGTTGCATAACAATGTTCTGTCCTACAACAGACAACTCCAGAAGATTCTGGATGAAACAGATTACCTGGACAGCTTCCGGTGAGGCTGCAGGCCTGGTGAGAGTAGGATGGGATAGCGGATCCATCCTCGCTCTTCTTGACTTCTTGGTGGCTTTTGATGCTCTCAACCATTTTGGGCTGGCTGCAGGTACTGGGCAGTGCAGTATTGCACAGGTTCGATTCCTTTCTCGGTGGCCAGTTCCACTTGGTGTTGATAGGGGGCGAGAGGTCCAGCCCAAAGCCGTTGCTTTGTGGGGCACCCGGGGGGGCGCTCTGTGGCTTTTGGTCATGTAACCACTGGCTGAGATCACGCGACACCAGAGGGTGAGATGTTACCAATAGGCTGCTAATGCTCAGCGCTGCGTCTCCACTCCTGGTGACCCAGATGATGCTGTAGCTGCCCTTCATGGTGCCTGGAGGCTGCCAGGGTCTGGATGGGGGACAGCGGGCTTCGGCTGAACCCTGGTGGAACAGCTGTGAATACGTGGCCTTCTAGAACCTTATTCTATGTTATATTCTAATTTGGGCTTTCGCCTGGACTCCAGTCAATGGTGGGTTCAGCCGACAGAAAGCCACAGCAAGAGGACAAAAGAGCCGCCAGTTGCCGACACCTGTTGCTTCGTCCCGCCTGTGCTGCAACCGCCCCCCCCCTGCCACAACAGCACCATTACCTCATTCCGACCAGCGAGGGCTACGCTACTCCTTGCAGATTGCACCACCTGCAAAGTTGCAAGTTTCACGTACCTCCCTCTGTGGTGGAGATTTCCAGCCCCACCATGAGCTACCAGGCTGGTCCCATATTTCAGAGCTCTAGTCCCAGTACTGGCCCATTGGTCATCCCAGAGCAGCTCCTCCACCCGAGTGTGCTGCGGACCACCAAAAGTTTCTCACCCCACCCCCATTTTTTGGATCTTCTTGCCCCACCTGGCTCTGCAGTTGGCCTTGGGCCCTGATAGAGAAGCCGTAGGCTGGAAGTGGTTGATGCAGTGATAGAGAAGGCATTTCCCCTGCTCCGCCCCAACCTTGTCTTTTACTCTGCATTTAATCTTTTGTAACCTTAATTGATAGTGGTTTCTATATTTCTATTTTGCATTGTATTGTAAGCTGTCTAGATCCTAAACTCTATCTTTGATTTTCTTTTACTACAGGAAGTGGAGGTAAAAGTTACTTCTAGCTTTCCTTGCAATCTTTGATTTTCCTAACTCTGCAGATATTAGGGACTATTTGCCGGTATGCCTTCTTGGAAATTGCACCTGTCTTCCACTTCCTGTTAATCTTTTCTTTGAACTTTTAAGCAACTTGTAACTTCTTCTTGGCTTGTAACTTAATCAAGCCCTCCTTATGCATCCAGAACGTGTCTCTAACCTGAGTCCTATCTTTGTCCTCGCTGGAAAGACGCCTGATTGATTGCGCTTTTATTCCCTTACGCTTGAGAAATTGCCATCTCTCCTGATTTTTTTGCCCATGGGGTCTCATCCAGGACTTCTATAAGCTTACTGAAACCGGCTGCCCTGAAGCCCAGTGCATACCTGTGCTTCTATGTCCCTTTCTTGGTCCCTTTCTTCAGGCTTCCTTCTGCTTTTCCCACTCCAGGCAGCAGGATCACAGCTAGGAGTTCCAGTCCACACACACACACAAACGTTCCTTCTTCAGCCTTCTGGAGAGTGAAACCAGGCGCGGGACCACCGAGGGAAACCTGGCCATCTTGGCTCAGCTAGTTGTCCACCAAGGGTCCCATTTGGGCTAAGTCACTCCTCCCTGGGAGTTTTATAATCAGGTCCTGTAGCCCCTCGCCACAATAACACATTTGTTTCTTGCCTCCCCTCTGTTCTGCCTTGAATGTTCTTGTATTCAGATTCACAGATGTCAGTACATAAGTGGACTTCCTCTCTAGTCTGGCTTGTTCCGTAATACTCTTCATTCCTTGCTTTCCACTGCTGGATTTCATCTCAGAGGTTCCACAGAAGCCTACAAAGTCACATTCGCCTACTGCATATCTTTAGTCAAAGAGGCTTTTGCATCACACTTACCAGAAACAGGATGTGATGACCCGGGGCTGGGCACAGAAGCAACATAGCAGGAATGAAGGCTTAACTGCCCTTTATTACTCCAATTTCCCCCCAAAAGTCCCACCAGTCACTGCAAGTCCAGGAGTCCTTCTCTAAACATGCACCTCTAGTAGTTCTGAGAGCAGCCACAGTTCTGAGAATTTGGTTCCAGGGAGTCCTCCTCGTCACAGGAAGAATTCACTGGGACAGCAACACAACCCAGAGTAGAATTGTGTCACTGCGAACTCAGGCATAGCTATGCTAGGCAAGCAGGGCAAGGCACAGCAAATTATCCAGGCGTTGGTAACAGCACGCGAGACTGGAGAAAGGCTAAGGTTGTTCCCAACAATTGCCCCCCCCCCAACAGCGTCTCTTTAAATCTCATTCCCCGGGTGAGCCTTGTGAAGAGGGGCGGGGCACCCTCCTCCCTGCGCTTATCTCGCCTCTTCTCCATTCTCCGCACTTGGGGAGGGGGAGGGGGGTGTGGGGAATTAATTGCTCTGAAGCTCACTGGAGCTCCATCGTTCCTCTGCCCTCTCCTCCGCTTCCTGCCCTCTCTGCTTGGTCGTCTCGTGCCCTCTGTCCTTCACTGGGGACCTTTTTCAGGCCTGAGGGACCCAGGACTGCCTTGTCCTGCTCCTCCGGTCGTTCCTCCCTCACCCCTAGCTCCATCTCGATCTCCTCCTCTGACCGGGGCTCTGACGGGGCCTTGACACAGAAGACATAAACTGGATCACCAGCCCTCATCAAGCCTTTGCCCAGGATACCCCTTGGACAACAGGGGTGTACCAGACTGTTTTGTCCATTTGGGTCACAATGCCACAAGGGAGAACAAAATAGATTGCTTTGGTTGTAAACCTAATCAATAGCAATATTAATTATGTAAAATTATTTATCTGGTTATTTCTTTGTTGATTGAATCTTACTTATGTATGGTAGGATTGTAGGGTAGGGTCATTTGTCCAGAGTACTCTAGGGTCTCCTGCCTGAACGGGGCAGTTGGACTAGACCTCCATGGTCCT